TTGGTTCATATAATTGCTTCAAGGGTAATTAGATCTTATCATTTCTCTTGAATTTTCATTTATGAAAAACATATCAATGTTCATGGCTTAAGATACTTGGAAGAAGTTTTGTTTTTGAATTTAAACAACCACCATAGACTTCCGCTGCGATTAATTTGATTAAATGCATGTTTAATATTCAAATGAACTTTGGAAAAATGTTTTCAAATTCCTACAATAATTTTGTAAACCTTAAGGACGTTTTGTGATATTAAGCCCTATGAGAAAGAAAAATACAATAAATTCTCTCCTCTCCCTTCTCTCTTATCACGTTCTTCATTTTATATGATTATTAACAAAATATAACTTCTTATCATAAAAGAAAAATTAATGGAGCATAGACCTAAGGTAGGTGGTCCACACTCGCAACATCTTTAATGAATTTGTTTTGTTTGCTAAACAGATATTTTTTTGGTGAAGTTAATGAACACTGGGATGGATGGGACTATACGTTTCTACACTGGGAAGGATGGATGGGACTATACGTTTCGACCCTTGTAAGAAACAGACAAAAGGTTCCCATTGGTTCACATGACTTCCAAACTCTTGTATCCGAGGGTATCATCTCTCCCCGGTCCTTTTGCCACATCGTCAAATAGAAAGGAGCTGCTGAACACGTGCGTAGACAATGGACCTGCATCTTTTTACTGGTATATAATTCCACTATTTAATATTTATTTAATGAGAGCCTCCAAATGAGCTCTGACTCTGAGTTCGCTTAAAGAAAGTAAACTGGAGGGTCTCTTGATGTGTTGAAGCATCATTTTGTTCGCCGAAGCAATGGATTCTGCGCTTCTTGTGTCCTTTCCAAATGCTTCTGTAGGTATGTGATTTCAATTAACAGAAAACATGGAACTTTTTGGATCTGGAATTAAGGGCTCCGTTTATTATTTTTTCCCCTGAATATTAGTGGTCTAATGGGTTTTAGATGCTTCAAATGCTGGGACTGAACTAATGCATTTGGTTTTGGCTTGCTTGGTTTTTATTGATTTGTGCTGGTGTAGCTGTATTTTATCTGGGAAAATCTTTACTTCTTGAAAGGTTCCTTATTTTAGTGTTCAGAGTCAACAGACTGAGCTAAATTACATTTATTCATCTGGGTTTATCTCCATTTTATACAACATACAATTTTTTTTTCAATTTTTTTTTTGTATTTTTGCAGTTCGGAAAATGACTTGGTTGATGTGACTATACTTTTGCCCATACCAGTTGTAGATTTTTTTTTTCTTTCTTTCTGAGTTTCTGCTTTGGTGTGTTTTCTGATGCACTACAAAAACTCATAGGTGGGAACGGTTGGAGAAGGGGCAATCTCAACAAGAGCTTTTCAAGTATGACTATCCCATCACAACATCTGATGCATAATTTGCCTTTCTCAGTCCTCCATGTTGAAAACTTATTGTCAACCCAATCTTTGTACTTAAAGGTTCATATGCAGCAGTCAGAGTTTCAAGAAGCAGAGCATGGGACATCTTGGAAAGATATTGTGGTGTTGGGTCTCAGCAATATCTTTTGAAGCATCACACCAGAAACACTAAGGAAAAATCTGCATTCTACAGGAGGCATGGTAAAAGGTTGTTGGTGAATGCTACTGCTGGTCACCCTCTTGAATCCGAACCTGGAGCTTATAATTCGAAAAGCATTCGGAACTCTATCAAAAATGCCATAGATGCTTTTTACAGGTTTTCAAGGCCGCACACAGTTATAGGCACAGTTAAGTTTTTGACAGAATCATGGTCGTCCTTGCCGTTATCCCAGTTAGCCTTTTGAAATATAACTCCCACATATTGCTGTTTAAGATTTAGTAGTGAATAACAATCATTTAGGATTATTGTCGTTAGTTTTTTGCCATTTTCCTTTTTGGTTTTTTAATCAATTTAGAGAGAGCTCACCTAAGTTTTTCTCTGAGCAGGCATTGAGCATAATTTCAGTTTCTCTCCTTGCAGTCGAGAATCTGTCAGATTTTTCACCTGTATTTTTCACAGGGGTGCTGGAGGTGATGCCTCTAATATTGATAACTTGAAAGCATTACATGGATACATTCATTATTGTTATTCTTACACACTTGGTATTTTACTTTTCAGGCTGTAGTTGCTGCTCTCTTTATGAATATTTACATTGTTGGTTTGAATCAGTTGTCTGACATTGATATAGACAAGGTAGGTGTTGTAAATTTACTGGTGCCGTTGCAATGATTTGGGAAATAAGAATTGAAAATTCAGTGACCTTTTGGTATTTTAAGGGGGCATTCCATTAGAAAGGTTCAACTGGTAGAATCCCAGGATATGCTCCTTTATCTGGAATTATCAAGCTACCCACTATTTGGTTATTTGAAATGTGCCTTCCTACACACACGGATGTGCATGTGCATACATGCAGAGAGAGAAGCCCTTTACCATTTACCAAGTTGTTTTCAATTTATTAAGCACCCTTTAGGTTTTTCTGGCCTAACCATGGAAGTCAAGACCAAAAAGATAATTTACATGGAACATATGTGAATTTTCTAATTGTATACTTGTGTTGCATGTTGTGTTTCAGGTTAACAAGCCTTATCTTCCATTGGCATCAGGGGAATATTCAGTTGGGACTGGCATCATGATTGTGACATCTTTTCTAATTCTGGTATCAAAAGCATTGTAGACTACATGCATATATATATATATATATATATACCTAATTTTTATTTAGGCTGGTTAGATAATATATTGCCTTTCTTTTTGTCTTTTTTTTTTAAAAAGAGAAAAGAGATGAGAGAGTGGGAGAGATGGGAGAAATATCAGGGAGGTGTGGAAGAAAAGAGTGTGAATGGATAAAATTGAAACTAAATACTACAAACCATTTAAAACAGTTCTTTAGATTTTAACTTAAAAGCCATTCTATGTATCCTTCTTTCCTTATGCTTTGCATCTCTCATCTTTCATCTACTTCTTCACCCTCTTTCTAATTACAACAAAAATTATCGAATGGGCCCTTACATGTAATTCCCTAACTTTTGCATGCAAACTGCCTCTTATTTCACTAGAAGTTTGGTATAAAGTATACGGATATCTTAGTTATCCTGGTTAAAATGGCTAAATCTGAGGATTTGAGTATTTTTAATAGTTCTTTTTATTATTCTGTAACTAGTTGCGTACCCTGCATCTTCATTGTTAACATGCAAGACATGTTTGAAGGAAATAAAATTCACCATTTCTTCAGCCATCTTATACTACCAATACTTTAATATATGTGGATAATCATAGAGTCAAGAAGTGCTGCTGCTCTTCGTCTCAATGTACACTTCTATGACAACCATCTGTTTGGAATGAAAATTATTATGAATTCATTTCCACCTTTTACAACGTGCCCCATGTACTAGATATGTTGCTTGTCCTCATTTCCACCTTACTATTACCTACCATTGGATGTCCTTCTTTTTTTCTCTTACAAAACCTTTAATAAACTTTGCCTTGTTTGTTCACCTGAAAGGTAAAATTTAAATGTAAATAAACAAAGGGAATTGGGATTAAATGTTCAATAGTTATTTAGAATCTGGATTACACATCAAATGTAATGAATCATATCTAAAAGATATTATGTACTTTTGTTATAATTTAAATTGATGAAGTTACATGTCTTCATTAAAAATTTTGGGGCATTGAAGCTGTAGTCTTGACTGAAAAACATTCTGATTATAAACATTCTTTTCTACAGAGTTTTTGGCTTGGATGGGTTGTTGGTTCATGGCCATTGTTTTGGGCCCTTTTCATCAGTTTTGTCCTTGGAACTGCTTATTCAATCAATGTGAGTTTGCTTGCTCCTCTATAATCTTATAGTCTCACAGACCTTAAATAGCTGTGCAAGGAAAGCTTATCTGTTACTCATGAACCAATCTGATGAATGAAGTTTAGGAAAAATTTCTTGACATATCCCTGCTCATCCTTATGCACTGCATGTTCCTTGCACATGCTTCTGAGCATGTGCATACTCCATTGGGATGTATGTACCTCTAACTAATAACTATATACATTATGTGTGTAAAAATGTGGTTATGGTTACAAAGAATGTAGGGTTTGTTGGACAAGAGTGAATTGGGTGAATTTCCAGGCTATCCTTAATCTTAAAATGTATTAATAACAATTGTTTAAAGTACTAAGGGCTTGAGAGTTCCTATAAAAAGTTGACAAAGAGGCATCTCTTAATAATAAAATGGATGATATTTTTCCTAGTGTTATGTTGACCAAACAGATCATCCTATTCATTTTCTTATGAAATGTACTTACCACCACATAACACTCCTATGTAGTTTGTGACTTTATTTTTAATATTCTTCATTAATTCAGTTTGAAGTTGCATGTAATTGATGAGTAATGTGATGATACTTTAAACACAATTGTATCAATATGGGTTTCGAATATTTTATAATCTCAGTTGCCACTATTGAGATGGAAGAGATCTGCTGTGGTTGCGGCAATGTGCATCCTAGCTGTTCGGGCAGTGATAGTTCAACTTGCTTTTTTCCTGCACATGCAGGTTTGTTATTTTCTATTAAGCAATCAATTTATACAATTCCACTGTCCCATTCTCTCAGAAAATGCTTGATTTATACAGGGGTTTTTTTTTTCTTTTCACATTGGAGGCAATTTACTATTATAAGTTAAATCTTTGACATCATTGAAAGTATTAATATCTCACGTCTGGCAAAGCAATAGTTGTCATTGCCCAATGCAGTGCCTGTAGGACAAACATATCTGCATGTGCACACAAATCACACTACAGTGAGGGCAATTGAGGAAAAACAAAACAATGTAGAAGGGCTATACTGTATTAACTAGTTAGTATTAGTAGTTGATTGCTCAAACAGAAACCTGAAAAAAGTAAGACAGTTCAACTCTAGAATAGGTGTCAGGGAAACCAGCAGTGTCCTACATGCAGATACTGGTAAATGTGGAGCATCTTTGTCATGTAGTTTGGTGCACTCACAGTGGTTCAGTTCTAATTTATCTAACATTTTCCAGATCCATGTGTACAAAAGGCCAGCTGCCTTCTCTAGGCCACTAATTTTTGCAACTGCATTTATGAGCTTCTTCTCAGTTGTTATAGCATTATTTAAGGTAAAAGCTCTTCTTCTTCTTTTTTCTTTCCCATTTCAAGTAGAGCAGTAGAAAATTTACTTTAAAGCTGTGTACTTGTTTTGGTGATGTGTTTGCTATTGTTTCAATCCATGTCGTTCTTATGAAATTAAAGGATTATGATCAATTTTAATAATATTGTGGAATCATGTAGGACATACCTGATATTGATGGAGATAAAATATTCGGCATTCGGTCTTTTACAGTACGTCTGGGACAAAAGCGGGTAACCTTTTAACACACGGATATGCACATATATAATATCCTACTGGGTCTTAAGGTGGTATGAGGGGCTGTCCAGTAACGGAGTCCAGAATGCATTGAAGGATCGTGGACAAACCCTCCTATCCGTCAACCCATTGGTTTTACATATATTGTTTTGTTGCCTAATTATCTTTGTGCAGGTCTTTTGGATTTGTATTTCGCTACTTGAAATGGCTTATGGTGTTGCCGTTTTAGTGGGAGCATCATCCGGCTTCCTGACGAGCAAATGCATCACGGTAATGTTTTAGTTTTCTAATTCTCAAGAGTAAAGTAGTGAGTGTTATGCAATCTTCATTACTCCTGCTTATTGAATGGCTCAGCTTCTCCTGTCTCTATAATTTTGAAATTACACATGGATAATGATGAAGACAGTGATAAGTATGAATTTAATGAATTTTATCTGTTAAATATATCTTCTCTCACATGCTGCTTGCTATACTCTGAAATAATGGGTTATGTTGTGAATTTCCGGTGTCCAACACGAAGGGTTCTTAAATATTACTGAGCCCTCTTTAAGCTCTGATTCTAAATCACTGGCTTTCCTCACAAATGCAAACATTTAAAGTGTTAAATAAGGCCACTTCAGTTTGTATTCATATTAATTTCCATATTTTAGGGAACCTTGAGTGGGTTTTCATATTCCCTTCTTACTGTTGGGTTTTTTTTTTCAGATGCTAGTATGCTAACAACTGAACAATGTACCAAGAATAAAGATATTGATATGTTCTGTGTTTGCATTGGTTTAGGTTTTGGGACATGCAATTTTGGCGTCGATACTCTGGAACCGAGCCAAATCTGTTGATCTCAACAGCAAAGCTGCAATAACAACCTTTTACATGTTTATATGGAAGGTAATTGCCTACCACAGCTATTGAATGCAAATGCAGTTAGAAAGAATATATCAAAAATCAAAAGTTGACCCGTACCAAAAAAATAACCATCCATAATAGTTTGACATACACAATTGTGAAGATGCTGAACATTTAGGATTCTCAATAGCATATGATTTGAAAACACAATTTCCTAGTCTGTTTTTCTGTGAAGCTGTTACAACTCATTCAGGTCCTCACATTACTATTTCTAGTATTCTTGTTGGTTGCTTTATCTTTACCAAGACCTCCAAGACCTCAAAATTTGTTCAAGCATGACCAAGGCTGATGGAATTAGCTGTCTGTGCTTGAGTTAATAAAAAGAGTTTCAAAAACTAAGACTCAATATTATTTCAAGTATGATAACTGAAATTATAGGATCTTCTCGGCAGTATATTTTTTTTAAAAGTAAAAACTGCAGTTTGCTTGGTCTGTAGATTTGACCCTGATCAAACCTGCCTGAACACGATCTCATTTCCAGCTTTGCTACTGTAGTTGTTGATTTTATGGATTGTATGTACCTTGCAGGTGATTTTATTTTTAGATTTCAATGTGGGTATACTTTTCATTCGTTTGTTTATTCTTCTTGCAGCTCTTCTATGCTGAGTATCTACTTATACCACTTGTTAGATGAGGATGACAACTTATTTGAGATCAAAGGTTGCCTTCAAAATCTTAGAGGGAATAAATCAAATGCCATTACTGGGATTGTTCAACATGCATTGTAGTTTGACAATACAATTGGGAACCTATGAGTTTATGCAATCACTCAATTCATTATCTTCATTTAGTACTTGTGTGATATTGCTCTGCTAACAGCGATACCCATCTTCTTTTTTGAGTACAAACAATAGTCTAGACTAGAAGGGGAGGGGGTTTTCTCACGCACACACTACCAAAGAGGCCATGAGGGTTCGAATATGAGACTATGGACAGGTCTACAAGTTAAGACCTTTTTCCACAAGGCTAGATCCCCTTGCCACCCATCTTTAAAATTTCATTGATTGGATAAAAAAGGGGAGATGCTAAACCCGGTCAACTAAAGGATTTTTCGACAAATGCCACTGGCACTTAACGTGATTTGCTCTAAGCTGTCTTCAACCTACAAACAAATCTCATTATCTTTGTCTGCGTGACATGATTTGTGCTTACCCATTACGACTGTTTGAATTGAGTATAAGCATGTAGGACTTACCCTCTGCTTTTAAGTATTTGGGCAATTTAAGGCCTACATGCCCGAAATTCGGTTGGTCTGCTTAGGGCATGCTCCTTTGTTTATTTGTGTAAAGAAAAATAGTAGGCATATCACATTTATGTAACATATTGTGTACCACTTCTTTCATAGAGGTGAGTCTTATTGTAATGGTGGGCTCCACTTCTATTAGAGAGGTGGTACACAAGGTGATATATAAATATGGTAAGCCTGTGTTAGTTTCTCGTGCATCGACTCATGAGTAAACTTGTCTTTATGAACTTTGATTGAACATGTGTCATTTTCTTATTGGGTGTAAATTTTAAGCTCCCTTATTCTATTCCCGTGTAACAAACTTTGATTGAACATGTGTCATTTTCTTGTTGGACGTAAATTCTAAGCTCCCTTATTCTATTCCCTCGGCTCGCAGTTGAGTAATACATCCATTTGCTAGTGCCGTTTTTCATTCAAAACACGTACTAATGAATTTTTTTTTTTCTTAATTAATGAGATAAGGATTCGAACTTAAAAGTTAAAACATATCATAAATATCCAATTCAGAAACAAAAAAAAACAAAAACAAAAAAAGAAGAAGCAGCGATAGACCCGACCCGCCTATATAGTAAAATCGTAATATTTTTACCCATTTACCAAACCCTAGCAACACACACAAAAACCCCACAAAGCCCTTTCTTGCTCTCCCTTCACATAAGGAGTAGCTGCAATGGCAGGCACTGTTGACGAAACAACGAAAGCGGTCTCAGATTTGACAATGGAATCGGAAGGAGCTATGAGCAAAAAGTAAGTGCCTAAGAACCCCTGTTTGGTCCCTGAGAAAGGGATTGCCTTTGAATTGAGGCATTTTAGGCATGGCTTGGGTTCCAAACAGGGAGCGGAAAAATATGTTCATTTCTGTCCATGAAACGTTTTGTTTTATTTTTAATCCATATGGGTTTTTGTTTTTTTAGCTACGAAAGCTATTAGACTTAATTTAAATTTTTGATTGTTTTGAATTTTGTGGAATGCTTACAGTGCACGCAAGAAGGAGCTGAAGATCAAGCAGAAGGAAGAGGAGAGGCGGCGGAAAGAGGAGGAGAAGGCAAAGCAGGTACACATTTTCTTAGCATCCTTTTGTTTCTGCTTTTATTATTTTCTGTTTGGTCTTTTGAAAACGAGGGAGAAATAAGTACGGAAATGATATGGGTAGTAAACCACGTATAGGACTCTTCCCTCAACTTTATATGGGCCGGTGGAATTATTGAATGATGGTGCGTTCATTCCCTAAATGTTGATAGATAATTGTCAGAACATTATTTGCTTATCTGCAAGTGTTGTTTACCCAATAATTTGGTATATTTTGGTTTGTTAATTTGTCGTATAAAATTAGTATATGAAACATGAAAATGAGTTGATACTAAATAGTCATGATACATCGTAGTGATTTTCTTTTTCGTCAATTTGATAGTGGCGTGCTTAATAATATGTAAGTATTGGTTTCGCAGAAATCTTATATATTTTGGTGATTTGTTTTGAGGCATAAATTTAATATTTCAACCATGAAAGTGAATTCATACTAAATAGTCACTTGAACTCTGAATACACTTGAATGATAATGTATAATTGCTTACTGTCCACTAAAGAAGCTCACCGTATTTGATTATGAAGTCTGATATTAAATAACTTTGCACTTATCTTACAGGCTGCTGCCACAGCAAGCTCACAGGTTAAGAAAAATGGAGCTACTGAAGATGAAGAAATGGATCCAACGGTATACATTAATTACATTGTGTAATATAGTTTTCATCTAATTGTTTTCTGTGTGAATTTTATTCTCACTCATTTATGACCCGAGCCTCATCTGTTTTTGTTCTTTTGTTTTTGATCATGTTGCAGCAATACTTTGAAAACAGGCTGAAGTATCTTGCTACCCAGAAGGCAGATAATAAAAATCCATATCCTCACAAATTCTTTGTTTCAATGACTGTGCTTGAATATGTAGAGAAGTATGACGGCTTAAGCAATGGGGAGCATCGTGATGAGATCAGTGTATCGCTAGCTGGTATTCAAAATTAAGGGTTTATATTTGTTTAGAGTATCATCTGTCACTTTCAAATTTTATTTGTTGGTGTGAATAATTTTGCTCTTGTGCAAGGTCGAATCATGAGTAAAAGATCCTCCAGCTCTAAGCTTTTGTTTTATGATTTACATGGTGGTGGACCTGGTGGTGGAAAGGTCCAAGTCATGGCTGATTTAAGGTATAAATTTGTTGCCACCCCCACTTCTTTTTATATTGTAATTTATACCCGGTTGTTTAGATCTTAATGTAGTTAGCCTCTAGAACAATGTAATGAACTACATTTGCCACCTTTGCATTTGTTATTATCTGAAACAATTTTTATACCCTCCCACCACGCAGGTTAAAAAATTGCCTGCAGCTTTTAGTTGTATTTACTATATATGTGCAGGCATGTACACACAGCGTGTACAAGTCTGTATAGTTTCTTTGGTGAAACTCTATATAGCAGTTGGTTTAAGTTTGATTTTGCTCTGAAGTTGCTAGTCATCAAATACTATTTTTATGTGTAAATAAGAGCAACTGATTCTTTTCATCTTTTCTCATCTTCCATCTAATTTTCCATACCTATGAAATAAAAATACCTTGATCAGATGATGGCATGAAGTTGGTCTTGTAGAAAGTAGAAAGCTATTATTGTATTGAAGTGTGGTTGGAAGCTCACTCACTCCCATGAAGAATTCTGGATTCACTCCTGCTTAGATAAATGCAAATTACTTTGCTTCTCCTTATGCATTGAATTAATCTATTCAGTACATTTATATATCCCCTTTGTTGAGTTATTTCTTTTACTTTTCAATATCAAATTACTAAAGGACTTCATTTTTTTCATGCAGCAAATCAGAGTTGGATGAATCTGAATTTTCTAAGTTCCATTCTAGTGTTAAGCGGGGTGATATTGTTGGTGTGACTGGGTTCCCAGGTTTGTAATAGCTGTGATATACCTTTTACTTGTTAATTATAATAATTTGTTTTCGAATTATATGATTTTTATTTAAAATTTGAGTTAAGCACTATATGAAGTGTCTTTGTAAGATCCGGTAGAATAAGTGGTGGTGTAATCCAGATGATAGTTTTTATATTTCACTTACTAAGCACTATAGGAACACATTCATTTCCTCTGCATTGACTTGATGGCATGTTTACTAATCAGGAATTGGAATTCTCATCAGGAATTGAATTCCGCTTATGGAGAATTCCTGCGTTTACTTCACATCAAGGAATTGAAAAGTAAGCAGGGCCCACACAAAATTAGGAATTGAATTCCTGATTTTGGAGGAATTCAATTCCTGAATGGGAGGTGGTATTCTAATTCCTGGAGAATTCACCCATTAGGAATTCATCTTTTTTACCCATTATATCCTCACACAATTTTCAAAATTCCAAATATGCCATCTACTTTAACCAAAAAATGAGGACATTTTAGTAATTAGTACCACTTCTACCCCAATTCCATATGGTTTAGTAAACAACTTCAATAGGAATTCGGAATCTAACTCCCCTCAATCCATATGGTTTAGTAAACAACTTCATTAGGAATCCGGAATCTAATTCTCTTCAATCTAACTCCTCCTCAATTCAATTCATCCTCAATTCAATTCCCCCTAATTCAATTCCGGATTAGTAAACATGCCATGACACTATCAGAGTGAAACAAGAGGTCTAAAGAAGAACAGAAACTAGACTGTAGTAGTAAAAAGAAATCCTTTTCTTTGTATGTAAGGAGTCTCGATATTTTAGGCGAGGACTGTTTGATTGAATGTTTGAAATTGTTATTCACTATATGGGCAAGCAGTTGATAGGTTTAAACTGAGTTCTTTTATCAAGTAATTATTGATCAGTTTAATAAGTCACTTCATCTTGTTTGTGTGTGTGTTGAGAACTTTGGTTGGTTAAAAGAAAGATTAGGGAGGAAATTTCTAAAAGGTTACGCTGAAATTGAAAGAGATTACAAGGGTGCAGTGTTCCATGAAGATCTCCTGAATAGTAGCTTAGTCTTCACATGATTTGCATCTTCCTGACTTTGTTAAACTGGATATACAAACTTCTTGTGTGTGCACTCGTGGATTTGTTCTGGTCTGACTGGTCGTTAGTCTAATGATAAGTTCTTCATGCAAAACAACTTTCAAGCTATTCCGTTTTCTTTATGTCATAGAAGGTTTGGCTTTACTGCCTTTCAGTCTAGTTGACTGAAGCTCTGACTATAGGCCCTTGAAAATCCATTTTGGGACACATGTCATGTTATATATATAACATCATGATCCTGGGCATTCTACAGTTATCAACTATAACTTCTGCTTTTTTATTTTTGGTTTTTCTCTCTCAAATCAATTGACCCTTGTAATATAATTTTCTGCTGGATTTTGTGTGTTTTGGGACTATGAACTGTTCATTTTTCTGGATTATACAATTTTCTGTTTTGTTTGTTTGTTTCTCTCTTAGGGAAGACGAAGAGGGGGGAGCTGAGCATTTTCCCAAGATCATTTATAGTCTTATCACATTGTCTTCATATGATGGCAAGGCAGAAAGCTGGTCCTGCTTCTGATAATGCTAATGTGAAGGTAAGCAATGTTTGTATTTTTACTGCTTTAATACTGCCTGTGCTCCTATCATGACTCCACTGCATAAACTTCTGCAGAAAATTGATGGATGGGTCCCAGGAAGCCCAAGGAATCCTGAAACTTATATTTTAAAAGACCAGGTATTGATTGATAAAGAAACTTTTAAACCCTTTTTCTGCAGTACTGCGAGGACACTAAGATTACAGTTTTGGGTGTCAGAAAAAAGATGTACGTTTGCATACACATTATTGATATCTGTCTATGCATGTGTGATTCCTTAGACTATCTATCTTAGATACAGTAACTTGGTGTATTCTTTACTTAATTCAAGAACATATATTTCTGGTCCTTTAGTTAGGTAACTGTGCTTACATAGGCTAACCTTGTAGACAGGCATTGATTTTTTTTTGCGTCGGAGATATAGGCTACCAGCTCAACTTGTACCTTCATTTATCTATTAGGTCTTAGTTTGATTAGTTTGTTTGTTGGATTCACTTTAATCCTTGTTTCTGCCCTTTTCTTTCAATCTATATTTTAATTGAGATTGAGAGTTTCAAAGTACTTGAGTTAGATCACCCTTTCAAGATGCAATTATTACTTTTGATTAGTTTATTTACGTTATTCCTTTTTAAGTTTTCAAATTTTTATGCTGTTCTCGTTTTCCATTATTTTACGTGTTAACTTCATTGTATTTCTTGCTAGGAAACTCGTTATCGTCAACGTTATCTGGATTTAATATTGAATACTGAGGTTCGACAAATATTCAAGACCAGATCTAAGATCATTCAATATGTTAGAAGGTTCCTGGATGAGCGTGATTTCGTGGAGGTTAGTCTTTCATCAGCTTGCTTTATGTATCCATTGCGTTTTCATGGGCATTTGTTGATGGTGCCTTACATTTAGTGTCATTTCTATCTTTGTCATTTAGTTCTTCTATTTTCTCCCACCCTCAGGTTGAAACTCCGATGATGAATATGATTGCTGGTGGAGCAGCTGCCCGCCCTTTTGTGACTTATCACAATGAACTTGACATGAGGCTTTTCATGCGCATTGCACCTGAACTATATCTCAAGCAGTTAGTTGTTGGTGGCCTGGAACGTGTTTATGAGATTGGAAAACAATTTAGAAATGAGGGTATTGATTTGACTCATAATCCTGAGTTCACTACATGTGAATTCTACATGGCTTATGCAGACTACAATGATGTGATGACCCTGACTGAGGAAATGTTGAGTGGTATGGCTCAAACATATGCTTCTTTTGCACTTCTCCATGTCTTTGAAACTACTTGGATTTCTTTGCTGATATAATATTTAATCTAAAATAGGGATGGTCAAGGAACTCACAGGTGGATACAAAATCAAGTATCACTCAAATGGGCTCGATAAGGATCCAATTGAGATTGACTTCACTCCTCCCTTCAGGTCTGTAACCTAATTCATTGGTCATGCATGTTACAACTGAAACAGATTTAAAACAACTTATCTGATGGTTTTAACTGGTACTGTTGCAGGAGGATCGACATGGTTGAGGAATTAAATAAGATTGCAGATCTCAACATTAATCCAGCAGATCTCTCTAGTGAGGAAGCTAACAAATATCTTAAGGAGGCATGCAAGAAGTTTGATATCAAATGTTCTCCTCCTGAAACCACAACTCGTTTGTTGGACAAGGTAAATCTTTTTATTTTTCCTTTTTCCAAATATTCTTCTAAATCAAGTACATGAATCAGGATATTTGATCCAATTTGAACTAAAGTCTTTTGAGGAGCTAATGGTGTGGTGAGAACTTAGAAAATGGCCTGGGCATATCTGATTAAAAGGTGGTACCCTGGCTGGTGGTGACTTGTATATTATACATATATGTTCAGTTACGTTCACCATTGTATATGGCTGTTGGCTATTAAATCATTGCCAAGGAAGGGAAAAAAAAGAAATAATGACTTATGGTATTTTTCATAGGTGGCAATGATAATGAATACACTAGTTGCAGTTTCAATAGAGTGAGAATTATGATTGCATATTGTCATCCTCCAAAAAAAATTTCACATAACTATGAGATTCTCTATGCTCGATAGTTGCTATTGGGCGGCAAGGAATGTCAATTTAATGTGGTAATGCAACGGCAAGGAATGTCAATTTAATGTGGTAATGCAATCTCATGTTTTTCTTGTGTTGATGACATTTTCCATCATTGCAGCTTGTGGGGCACTTTCTGGAAGAGACTTGTGTAAATCCCGCATTTATCATTAACCATCCCGAGATAATGAGTCCTTTAGCAAAGTGGCATAGATCAAAACCGGGCCTGACTGAGCGTTTTGAGTTGTTTGTCAACAAGCATGAAGTATGCTTGCTAACTTGAGGACTTCTTTGAATTATTTATTTATTTGGCATCTTTTGGTTTGGTTTGTCGTTGTGCTTGTTACCAAATGTTATTTTGCTGCCCAGCTTGCCAATGCCTACACTGAATTAAATGATCCTGTGGTACAACGCCAACGATTTGCTGATCAGCTCAAGGTATGAATTAACTGTTTAGTTGTGTTATATTATTATATATTGTTTGGTAATTTTTCTGAAGATATGTGGTTTGAGTTTCAGGATAGACAGTCAGGTGACGATGAAGCAATGGCTTTGGATGAAACATTTTGTGGAGCTCTTGAGTATGGGTTACCTCCAACTGGCGGTTGGGGTATGGGCATAGATCGACTATCTATGTTGTTAACTGATTCACAGAACATTAAGGTTTGTGCCTCCTACCCTCCCTCTCCCCTCCAAGCATGTGTTTGTGCTTGTGTCTGAGATGTCACCTTTAGCGGCTTCTCACTGTCTGTTGTTTGTGGTTGGACAGGAAGTTCTTCTCTTCCCGGCTATGAAACCACAGGATGAGCCTTCTGCTAAAGGTACTAATTCCGATTCTGTCCTGGCATTAATTTTTAAAATCTGTTCCCTGAATTTTGCTGCTCTTTGATGATGAGTTTCAGAATGTTGTGTTTCCTCTTTATATGCCCTGCTTCTAACTGTTGTTAGTTTGACGTTCTACAGCAACCGCAAGCTCTTAGGATTATTGGGACACAGCTTTTATTATACTTGAAGGGGTGGTCTTGTTGATGGCCTGCGGTCGCTCTTTTTTGTACTGTTGTATTTCAAGTTTTTGGGTAACATAAAAAATGTCAGATTATGGATATAGTATTTGCTATATTCTTCATCACTCACTTGTGAATGCGACTAATCTATTTATTGAAGTGTCAAATTGTTGGAATTGTTCTACAATTTGTAGTTGTGTTAAATACGTTTTTGGTCACTGTGTTTAGCAATTAATTTGGACTCGAAATCAGGATCTTGCCTAGAGGAGCAATTACTCCAAACTATTACACTAGTGAGTCCTTTGCAATTAAAATTAATAGATAATAGATAATTAAAAACAACTAGTGAGTCCTTTGCAATTAAAATTAATGGATAATAGATAATTAAAAACAACGGTGAAATTTTTTCATTAAAATCAGAAAATTGTATGAGTATGATACATGTATTATGTCTGGCTTATGAAAAAATGTGCAATTTTTTTTCAGTATAATTGAGAATTATATGGAAAATAAAATTGTTTAAAAAATATATAGGCTGACATGGACGGGTCAAAGTCACCGAAAAAAAAGGTTCGACTTTATTTTATTTATAAGAAAACGACAATTAAATTTTAAGAACGATAGTAACTATAAAATATTCCCAACCTTAGACGACCCACGACTTTCTGCTTCTTTGGTCAGCGGAAAAATATAGAATTCCTAATTCCACGAGGAAAAGGTGAAGGTTTTGCTTGGTTAGCAAGGACTGAAGAAAGAATTCCAAATTCTAGAAGGAAAAAGTGAATTAGTCGGCCGCCTCATTCCTATATATATGGTATTTACATACAAACCACTCATTGACGGTTTATGTTTGAAATTTTGTTAACTCAAATTTTTAGAGAGAGAGAGAGAGAGCTTTCTTTTCATCTTAAAGAATGGCTGTTTCTACGCAGGTCAGTGTGTTTGACAAACTCGAATACCTTTCTTTGGTCTCCAATATTTGCACAGTGCTTGAAAATCATCTGGGTTTCGCAGACAGAGTTTTGGCAGAGTTCATAACCGAGATGGGGCGAAACTGTGAGGCCGTGGACGATTTCCGTGCAAAGTTAAAGCAAAACGGAGCTAACATGCCTGAATTTCTCCTGCATATATTGTTGGAGATCGTTCACAACATTCTTCCTCCAAAAAAGGCTTCTCAGAAGCGCAAGAACAGCCCGGCCATGGCGATCACCGATGCTATGCAAATTCATAGAGATAGTAAAGAAGGAGAAAAAAGGAGCAAGAGGCAGAGGGTTGACAATGGTTATGAAGGGATCGCCTCTGGTGTTTTTGGGGCCGCAACATATGATGATGAAGTTGGATTGCGAAATCGAGAAGAGGGTTTCGGGGAAGAGATTGAAACGGAGCTGGATGAGGACCCATTAGAACTTCTGCGTGGAGTCTTATCAATTGATAGGTCACCTGTTAAGATTGTCAAGAACCCAATTGGGTCATTGAGCCGTGCAGCTGCCCTTCAGTCTTCGCTTCAAAAGGAGGGTAGAGAAATAAGAAAAGTGCAAGAAAGAATGAAGCGTAATTCAATTCCAATGGATCTTAATCGTGCTTGGGAAGACCCTATGGCAGAGAGAGGTGATAGATATCTCGCACAAGAGCTTAGGGGTGCTGCTGCCTTTTCGGCTTTCGACATTGACAAGCATGAGTGGAAGAAGACTGCTTATGAAGGAGCCCTGAGTTTTGGGCAGAGATCAAGCCTTTCCATTCTTGAACGGCGTCAGAGCTTACCAATCTACAAATTGAAGAATGAGCTGGTTAATGCTGTGAACGAAAATCGGGTGCTTGTTGTTGTTGGTGAGACTGGTTCAGGTAAAACAACCCAGGTAGCTCAGTATCTTGCTGAAGCAGGTTACAGCACAAAGGGCATAATTGGATGTACTCAACCGCGTAGAGTTGCAGCCACTTCTGTAGCCAAGAGGGTTGCTGAAGAAGTTGGTTGTAGATTAGGGGAGGAAGTTGGGTATTCTATTCGATTTGATGATTGTACTGGACCGGATACTTTGATTAAGTACATGACTGATGGGATGCTTTTTCGGGAGATTTTGATGGACAAAAACCTTTCTCAGTACTCTGTGATCATGCTTGATGAAGCCCATGAAAGAACGGTCAATACTGATGTTCTTTTCGGAATGCTGAAGCAACTTGTTAAAAGACGACCTGATCTTCGTTTGATTGTTACGTCTGCAACACTGGATGCGGAGAAGTTTTCGAGGTATTTCTTCAATTGTATGATATTCACTGTTCCTGGTAGAACTTATCCTGTAGACACACTGTACGCGAAGCAGCCTGAAAGTGATTACTTGGATGGAGCTATATTGACTGTTCTGCAAATTCACTTGAGTGAACCTGAAGGTGACATACTTGTCTTCTTGACTGGTGAGGAGGAGATTGAATTTGCTTGTCAGTCTCTGTATGAAAGGATGAAAGAACTAGGTAAAGATGTTCCGGAATTGATTATCCTACCAGCTTATGGTGCCCAACCGAGTGCAGAGCAGTCAAAGATCTTTAAGCCTGCTCCTCCAGGGAAGCGAAAAGTGGTTGTGGCTACCAATATTGCTGAAACTTCTTTGACCATTGATGGGATATTTTACGTAATTGATCCAGGGTTTGCAAAGATAAATGTATATAATCCGAAGCAAGGGGTTGATTTGCTGGTTGTAACACCAATTTCACAGGCATCAGCCAATCAACGAGCTGGGCGTGCTGGGCGTACAGGGCCAGGAAAATGTTACCGCCTTTACACTGAGAGTGCTTTTCACAATGAGATGTCTCCTAATACAGTTCCAGAAATCCAAAGATCAAATCTTGTACATACTACACTGATGTTGAAAGCTATGGGGATAAATGATCTTAAATCTTTTGATTTTATGGATCCCCCATCACCCGAAGCACTTACGTCTGCCATGGAACAAGTGAAGATGCTAGGAGCCTTGGATGAAGAGGGATTTCTGACCAAATTGGGTAGTAGAATGGCCGTGCTGCCTCTGGATCCACCCTTGTCTAAAATGCTGCTTGCCAGTGCGAACCTTGGATGCAGTGATGAAATTGTGACCATCATTGCCATGCTTCAGGCAGGCAATACCTTCTACAGGCCTAAGGAAAAACAAGCGCAAGCAGATTTGAAGAAGGCCAAGTTTCTACAGCCTGAGGGAGACCATCTGACTTTACTTGCTGTTTATGAGGCTTGGAAAGCCAAGAATTTTTCTAGCCCCTGGTGTTCAGAGAACTTTGTCCAGTTTCGGTCATTGAGTAGGGCAAGGGATATCAGGAAACAGCTTCTTACTGTCATGGACAAGTATGAATTAGAGGTTGTAAGTGCAGGAAAAGATCGAACAATGATCAGAAAAGCGATTATAGCTGGATGCTTCTTCCATGTTGCTAAAAAGGAACCACGTGAGGGTTATAGAACCATAGTCGACAAGCAGGTAGTTTATATCCACCCAAGCAGTGTTCTTTTCCAGAGACAGCCAGATTGGGTCATCTACAATGAGCTGGTGATGACCACAAAGGAGTACATGCGTGAGGTCAGCGCTATAGAGCCCAAGTGGCTTATGGAACAGGTGCCAAGATTCTTTAAGGCTGCAGATCCTACAAAGATGAGCAACCGCAAATGTCAAGAACGCATCGAACCGCTTTATGACAGATATCATGAGCCCAACTCTTGGCGTCTGAGTAGACGGCGTGCTTGATATGTACAAATTTCAAGATGTAAATTCTGTTGTTAAGTAAAGTGTGCTTCATATGTACTTCTCTGCTATGTATACAGTTGATTTGTTCCACGTTGAATTTTCAAAAGTGAATATCATTTATCAATCTTGTTAGTAACTTATATCTCTCTGTCTTCCTGTGGAACTAGTTTACTCGTTAGATTTTCCTGAACCTTAAGCTGAATGATGGCCATGCTCCCCTGTTCTGTTCCATTTTCAAATGTTCCAAAATATGTTTTATATTATGATCTACATAGCTTTGGCCTGATACAATGTTTTGGTTCTTGCTTGCTTATATTGTTGATTTTTATTTGTCTTATCCCTCTGTTGTCATCCCTTGACATGTTTTGCCTAAGCAACTAGCAATTCTTGCAAATCAATGTAGGCCTCATGCTCGGTGTTTTCCTAATTTTTTAAAAAAATAGTATAGCCGGTTGGCTTTACATTTTTGGCACGTGGCGCCTAGGCGCTGGTCGGTCCTTTATATATATATAGTATCGCTGGGAGGCTATACCCGGTTTTTTTAAAATTTATTTTTAAAAAATAGTATAGACGGGTGGCTGTACTCTGTTTTATTAGTGTTTCTTAAAAATAGTATAGCCGCCCGGCTATACTTATTTTGACACGTGGCACCTAATCATCAGGAGAGTCCCCTTTTGTTTTTTTTAAAAATAGTACAGCCGCGCGGCTATACTCGTTTTTCCTTATTTAAAAAAAAAAAAAATAGTATAGCCGCACGTAGCGCCTAGGCGCTTTGCGGGGTTTTTTTTTTTAATACATATAAATAGTATAGCCGCTCAGCTATACTATTTTTTAAATTTTTTTAAAAACCAGCAAATTTCGCCGGCATAGGTCGGGAGAGGTTTTTTTTTTTCTTTTTTGGTTTTCATTTTGAAAATATAAAATTAGTTTATGTATTTTTGTTTTTTTGGCTACTTCTTTAATTTAATATATGTAATTAAGTAATATTTTAGTCTTTTTGAATTACTTTAATTAGTAATTATGTTTTAATTATTATTTATTTAGTGAATATTTAAATATATTACTGATTTCACAAATGACTTAATCAATATTAAGTACTTGAAGTTCAATGGACGTCGAAAAAATTAATTACTTATTTTGGTTTGGGTGTCTTAATTAAATCTCTCAAGAACCCAAGACCCAATTCTTTGGTTAATATAATTATTATGAATGAAAGCCAAATCCAAAGCCGCGCGGCTATACGCAATTTTTTTAACTTTTTAAAAGAAATAGTATAGCCATGCGGCTATACGCTTTATATATATAGTGGGATCCTTTTTTTCCCTGATTTTCGTTTATCGATAAGAGTTGTTTTGAGCATTATCCATTACTATTGGCCATTACTTGAGTCTTTATTATCCCCTTTTGATTTTTTACTTTTCCAGAGTTATACCGGTACAAAGATTTAGTACTTTCATGTTTAA